AGGAACTATGTGAAGTTCATTAATCTGTTTCTTGAATTCGCCGGCAATGGTCTCCAATTTCAGCTATCATTTTGCCATTGTTGTGTTCAAAGGGACTTCCGAGATACATAACCTTCATCTTGCCCCTGCAACCTGCCAGTCAGTTCTTCAAAGATAAGCTTTCATTGTGCTTGATGTAGACCCGGTTCATTTTGAGTCTTTTATAATGCAGCAGTGATATACTCTTCAATTGTGGGCACCACGTCTTCTGGATTGAATGTGACACATAGTCGCCTTGTAGACTATCCTTTGTATTTTCATCTCTTGTATTACAACACCTTTGTCCATGGATTCAGATTATTCGAGTTTTAACAAACACGTTTTAGTGGATCAATGACCTCTTTTTAATGATGCAAGTGATGAAATAAAAAAAATAAAGATGAAAAGAGTTAGTGAGGTGAAAAATAATCAAAAACGATCATAAAAATGAAAGTCCTACCCCACATGATACCTACCCCACATGCTTATTATTCCTACCCGGACATGATCTCTATCCCGCATGCTAATTTCAAACAAATCCTAACCGCATATTTGTCTAGTTCGCATGCTTTGAACAGAAAGTAAGCATAAATAAAGCAGCCTAGGTTTGAAGTGAGGTTTTGGGGGGCTCTAATTTTCCATAGTCTCCCGGTTTAGGTTCTAAAAAAACGGTACCCGAGTTCTCCTTGTTGGTGCCCCTTTGGGCTTGCCAGACCCTTAGTCCTAAACCCATCACAGGTTTGTGTGGACTAAGTTAAACTCGAGAGGACACATTCCCTTATGTCTATGCGGAGAATAAATTCACACGAAGACATAAGGTATATGAATCCCGAAGGCTACTTGCTAGGCATATGCGGTGAATAAATTCACACGAATGCGTCGCTTTCACCCCCACTTAAAACGGGTTCGGAGCTCGGGTTTAGATCCTTAGATGAAAAAAGACTTTAAGGGCTGAAATCATTGAGAAAACGGTTAGTACAACTAATTACTCGAAAATAATCAAAAGTAAGTAATAAGGATCGAAATGTTACCTTAAAATTTAAACTTACCATTTTCATTAAAAAGACAACTGGAAATTACCTTAGCTTGACTCACTTACCTGTGTCCCCAGCGGAGTCGCCAAGCTGTCGCAACCGTCTTTCGGTTGGGCCCCGGAATTGGGCTTCGACTTGAAAAATGTGGATTGGAGTCGCCACCGATCATTTATTTAAAGATAAATGGGTTGATCGGATACCCTATTTCTTACCTGATCTGCGTCTTACCAAAATATGTCGGGCTCGGGAGTCGGTTACGGTCAAGGAAGGATTAGCACCCTTGAACCGCCCTTTCGGTACTACGTAATTTCCAGTTGTCTTAATTAAGAAAAATAACAAGTTAAATTAAAAGATAAAATAATGATCCAAAATTACTTACCTTTGACGGATTTACAAATATACCCTTTAAAAGTCAAAATATGGTTAGAAGAGATGAATAAATGATAAATAAAGTAAACAAATAAATAAGGAGATTAAGAAAGAAATAAGTAAATATAAAATGAATAGAATATAAAATAAAAAACAACACTAATATATGCATAGCAAACAACTAAATAAAAATAAAATGATAATGCAAATAAATAAATAAACAAGTAAAAGAATATAAAACATAAAATTAGGATAAATATAAAAATAGATAAATAAATGAGTAAAATATAAAAAGTAAAAGCATATATATATATATAAAATAATAATAAAAAAAATCAAAAATAATAAAGTATATATACATGTAAATAGGAAATATATAAATATATATATATATATAATAACACTAATAAAAACATATATACATATATAATAAAATTAATAGAAAGTAATATGCATATATAACAAGAATAATAAAGTAGGAAAAAAATGATTTAGGGGGGAGAATTAAATATTTTAAAAAAATGAACACGCCTCGGGGGTGGATCTAGGTTCGAAACTTCGAAATCCCATCCCTTTTTAGTCATCGGTGCAACCCACGTTTTGGGTTATTCGAACCAAATCTCAAGAAAAATAACGTGCACATGCGAGAAATGAACGAACCAATGTAAAAAAAAGATGCTACCTGTCGCAACCGTCTTTCGGTTGGGCCCCGGAATTGGGCTTCGACTTGAAAAATGTGGATTGGAGTCGCCACCGATCATTTATTTAAAGATAAATGCGTTGATCGGATACCCTATTTCTTACCTGATCTGCGTCTTACCAGAAATATGTCGGGCTAGGGAGTCGGTTACGGTCAAGGAAGGATTAGCACCCTTGAACCGCCCTTTCGGTACTACGTAATTTCCAGTTGTCTTAATTAAGAAAAATAACAAGTTAAATTAAAAGATAAAATAATGATCCAAAATTACTTACCTTTGACGGATTTACAAATATACCCTTTAAAAGTCAAAATATGGGTTAGAAGAGATGAATAAATGATAAATAAAGTAAAACAAATAAAATAAGGAGATTAAGAAAGAAATAAAGTAATATAAATGAATAGAATATAAAAAAAAAAACAATAACACTAATATATGCATAGCAAACAACTAATAAAAATAAAATGATAATGCAAAAATAAATAAACAAGTAAAAGAATATAAAAACATAAAATATAGGATAAATATAAAATAGATAAATAATGAGTAAAATATATAAAAAAGTAAAAGCATATATATATATATAACTAAAATAAATTAAAAAAATCAAAAATAATATAAGTATATATACAGTAAAATAGGAAATATAAATATATATATATATATATACACTAAAAAAACATATATACATATATAATAAAATTAATAGAAAGTAATATGCATATATACAAGAATAATAAAGTAGGAAAAATGATTTTAGGGGGGAGAATTAAATATTTTAAAAAAATGAACACGCCTCGGGGTGGATCTAGGTTCGAAACTTCGAAATCCCATCCCTTTTTAGTCATCGGCGCAACCCACGTTTTGGTTATTCGAACCAAATCTCAAGAAAAATAACGTGCACATGCGAGAAATGAACGAACCCATGTAAAAAAAAGATGCTACCTTTTATTTCCTTTTCGAATCGTTTACAACAACTTTGCCTTTGTATTTTCCGTGCTTTTCTCTGTGTTTTGTGTGTAAATCGTGTGTTACAATGGTGAGTTACAATGGCTATTTATAGTGCTTGTGGATCCTATCTTTAGGAATTTAAATCTTAGTAGAACTCTATCATATTTTTAGGAGTTTGAATCCTAGCAAAATGTTATCCTATTTTTAGGAGTTTGAATCCTAAAATTCTATCCTATTTTTAGGAGTTTGAATCCTAGTAGGACGAAAAAGTGTGTTGACAGTTAGGAACTTGAATAAAACGAACTTAAACAAAAAGAGGTTAAAGGAAATTAATAGTAGAGGGACTCAAACCGAACAAACCAATAATGCAAAGGAATATTTACTTTTAATTTTTAAATTGATGATCAAAGTCTTTCAAACCCTAAACAAAATAAACTATTCACATAGTTTACTCAAATTTAAATTATTTTAAAATCAACATAACTAATCTAGAACTAATTGGCACGATAAAAAGTATTACCAATAATATAATAGACAAATAATTATAACTTTATATCTACGGTACACCCTAAAATTCAGATCTAAATAATATTTCATTTCCCCGCATTAACCATGTAATATGAAAAGATAAAAACATTTGATTTTGGTGTGATTTTAAGGTAAATGGTACTAGTAGTTCTTGAATTTCTAAAGCATTTATATTTTAATTATCAAAATTTTAAAAATTATTTTGAAGAAGTAAAACTTTTGATTTGTTTTCATTATATTTCTTGTCAATTATTAATCATCGTTGACGTTGTATGCTCACGTGTCATTTTTAATAAACTAATACACTCTTATAAAATAATGTGTAATCATCTTAGTGGTGAAAAATTACAGAAAATATATGACATTAAAAACAATTAAACCTACTATCTATAGGAACAGAGTGTAGCACCTAACTAACAGACTAAGAAAAAAATATATTTATAACATTAATTGTAGTTATAAATATATTAATATTTAAATTTGATATGCTATAAAATAAATAAATAATATTTAAGTTAAATTATAATTATAACAAAAAGTCATAACATATTATAATAACCTATTTATAATGTAAATGTATTTTTATAACATTGTAAAAATATATTCATAAACATTATAAGGAAATAATTATAAAGTTATATTATTTTATAATTATATATTTTTACAAAATTTGAAATTAATTTTTATCCCAAATTAACGTATTATTTATAAAAATTTTGTTTTTATTTTAAAAACGGCTCAATGTTAGTTTATGTGAATATTTATATCTCAAAATCAGTTCTAATACGTCATAACCCTAATAACTCAATTGGACCGACCATCACCTTGGCACCACAAAAATAATAAAAAGAAATCTCAAATACATAAGGGGAAAGTACAAAAATGCTCCTCAACTATAGGATGATATTTTGTTGAGTCTCTTGATTATTAAAAATTATAAAGTGATCCCTTAATTATATGGCGTTACTTTGTTTAGTCATTTGACTATTAAAAGTTACAAAATGGTCACCTAACTATTCATATATTTCATACTTGTCATTTTCTGTTAAAGAAATTATTAGTAATCTGAGTTGGACGTCAACCTATTGATTGTGATATGATAAAATTTGATTTTGAAATCTCAAACGATTATTATATCATAGTCATGTTAATGTATAACTTAGAAATCTATCATTTTTTTAATGAAAAAATGATGAATTTGTAACATATGAATAACTAGGTTGTCATTTTATAACTTTTAATATTAGTGAGACTCAACAAAATAATATTTTATAATCAGAATATTATTTTATAACTTCTAATAGTTGAATACTCGACAAAATAATAACATGTAGGCCAGTGACCATTTGGGTACTTTACCCAATAAATAAAGAGTAGAGCAAGTGAAAAAATTGCTTCCTCCGTTCTTTATAACCCTCTCCTCCATCCTTTCATTTCCCTCTCCGTTCCGTTCTGTGACTTCGTCAAAATCGGTAATGAATTTCGTTGTTTCTTTTTCTGGAATTGTAATTTGAATCTCTCTGTTTTATCTCAAAAATCCCTTCTTTTGTTTGCAGACTGTACCGTTACAATTCACCGAATCGTATGGTGAAAAGATAGAGATTGATAGACTCAGGGGGCGGAGTTGATACAGTGTAATGGCGTCCATGGTAACGAATCCAGTGACGAACCTGAATTCTGATCGGAGCAGGAGGAAAAAGAAGAAATCAATGATTAAAGACAATCAGACGAACTGTAACCAGTCCCACTTAACCAGATGGAAATCAGAGGCGCAACAGCAAATCTATTCCTCCAAGCTTCTTCAAGCCTTGAGCCAGGTCAGTCTCGACGCTCCTTCTTCTTCGGCTCCGCGCGGTGGCCGAGCCGTCCGTGAAGCTGCCGATAGAGCCTTGGCCGTAGCTGCTAAAGGGAGAACAAGGTGGAGCCGGGCCATTTTGACGAGCCGGCTTAAGCTGAAATTTAGGAAGCAGAAGACAGAGAGATCAGCCGTGGCTTCCGTCACCGGGTGTAGCCGGTCGAAGAAACCGAGATTTAGCGTTTCGAAATTGAAAGCCAAAAGCTTACCGGCTGTTCAAAGAAATGTCAAGGTTCTAGGCCGGTTGGTTCCCGGTTGCCGGAAGCAACCGTTACCTGTTATTCTTGAAGAAGCGACTGATTATATAGCTGCGCTTGAAATGCAGGTTCGAGCCATGACCACTCTGGCCGAGCTGCTATCTGGTTCCGGTGCGACCACCTCCGCCCCTGCCGCCGCATCCGAATAGTCAGTAACACTTTTTTTTTTTTTGCTTAGTTGCCAAGTCATCTTCATCTCTCTTTTCTTGTTCCCTACTTATTTTTAATTTTTTTTTCTTTCCCATTGCCTCTCTAGTAATCAATCCTCCTGTTAAATACATGTCTTCTTTATCTCATATTTTCATTTTATCTCACTGTTAGACTACTGTTCCTCTGGATGTATATTTGCAATCGACAAACTGTAGAGTTATTTACTCATTGATTTCAGTTTCGAAATTTGTTACATGCTTGACTTGGTTTTTATTTATTATAGTGGGTATGATTTTTGGGAAAAAAATTGCAGTTGATTTTGATAATTTTGGATATATGATTTTATGTGAAGAAAATGAATTATAAAAAAATTAAGAAATAAATTATATCAATAATAAATATATATATAAAATAAAAAAAAAAGCTTCCTTGCCTTTCTAACAGGGGCTAAAGCTATGATCTAAATAGCTACTATACCATTGTGTTCCTGAGATATACTGCTCGAATTTTTGTGCAAGTGTCAAATATAATATAAGCAATATGATCATACGAGTAATTTTTAAAATTCTTTCTTTTTAGCTATTGGATGACATCTGTATGCATTTCAATCTTTGATCTGTCATTTTAGTTGCTAGATTTCAGTGACATTGAACCAGAAATATAATAGATCCTTCTTTTTTTTCCTTCATTTGGGAAGATGTTAAGAGTGTATAGGAAACACAAGGAGAGGAACAGTTTGTGAATTGGGGGATGGTAAACATCAATGGAAAAATTGAATGAGATAAAATTTTAACATAAATATTATTAATAAAATAAATAATTAATAAAAAAAATTAAATTTCAGAATGACACAAATCTATCCTCGGAACTGTAGATCTGCAACTACATGTGCATAGTCCAAAAGGTGGTGATAGGAGCGCCAAACCTGTAGTAATGAGAAGTCTCCCGGCATGGCAGCTATCATGTGGGTATATGTCCCCACATTTTGTAAGCATTGCCCCAAAATTCAAGTCAGTTCTATAGATTTCATGTGATGATATAAAATATTTATGTAAATGATGGGCGATATCATTCCCAAGTTTTATCAGTGAAAATTTTGCAACTCTGACATGAAATTACCTAATCCAAATGCCCTTTTAAGATTTTAAATGATGCTCATCTCATCTCACTTTTGCCACCATCATCATTTTTGTTTACATATTTAATTCTTTTTTAATATCAATGATAAAAAAGAAATATTCTTCTTCAAATTTTGGGATTTAAATAATTGTATTTATAGGATATTTATACGCGTTGTTAATATCTAAAAATGATTTTGAACATATACTACATTATAATCCCTCCAAATTATTCAAGAAAAATATTATTATCTAAATAGTCGATGTATAATTTCTTTACTTTTACTAAATTTTAATCTCTACTTTCCCGATAAGGACCACTAATAATTAAGTTGTTAACCTAATGAGTTTGATGAATGTGGGGGGAGGATGATTTAAGAGTTAGTAAGGGGTTTATAAAGAAAAAAAATGATAGTTAACTCTCATCTGTCGATGATCTATCACTTTTCGATTACGATTGAATAATATGATTGTAAAATTATAAATGAAATGATTTATTATTATAATCGATAAATAGAATCGTCTGCTTTAAACTATAAAATTAGTGTCTATTTCATTTTTAATAGTAAAGTGAATTGTGTGTAATATTAATTGAATTATTTATTTAAATTTCTTAAAATTCAGTAACACATTTTTTTTATAGAAATTGCTAATTTTATTAAACCAATCAAAAGCGTAAACTAAACACATAATAAGGATATTTTACTAAACACAAAAAACTAGAAATTTAAAATCCATATAAAGAAAATATTAAAAATCTTAACCAATTAAATTTGGAAAAGAAGTAGATACGAAAATATTTGTCTGTATCAATAAACGAATCACAAAAGAAGAAGTTATAAAATAGAACTCCAAAAATTCAAAAATTTTAATAATCAATGGATTAGTTTTTTGAGTTTGAGTCGAGTTCTTCAACTTTGTATGATATATGTTTATTACATATGAATATATATATATATATATATATATATATATATATATATAATATATATATATATTTTAAAAACCGTTTAAATTTGATTCAAATAGTATCATGACATTATAAATATTCACAATAAAATTTATACAGAAACTCAAACAAATCAATTTGACTCGACTCGAAAAGATTTCAAATAAAGTTTAAATTATAATAAGATACGTTAATTTAAAAATTCAAAAAAAAAATAGATCGACTTGAATTGATGAAATATTCACTCCTAGTGGTGAGCACGTGGGCAGCAAAGGTGAACGTCGAGCTTCACAAGCGTTGCGGTGCGGCGCTGCTTATAAATCATCCGGCGGCACCTCATTTGTAACTTTGTTTTATAATTAAACGAATATTTTTTTTCTTTTATGAAAACTTAACTTTAAAGAACAACTGTTTTAGAGCATGCAGCTGCTGTTGTCTTAATTATATGGAACATCATCATTAATGTTTACCATTAAGACACGTGGTTTTTTTAATGAGATGTTTTGTTGTTTTAACGGGTACAGAATAAAAACTTTTATTTTTGTTCCAGTCGTTTAATGAGATGTTTACCATTATTCCAATAGTTTAATGACCATCAAGAATATGCCTTGATTTTAAAGCTTTTATTGGAATAAAGAACAAAAACCAGGATAACTACACGTCTAGTATCTCAACTATTATATTTGTTTAAAATCACACTCAATGTTTCATCTGGGTTTCACTTTGGTCACATACCATTAAAAATTAACTGAACCTCTGACGTGACATTATCTTCTAATAAAATGTCAATATAATTGTTAGTTTTTTTACGATAAGTGGCCAAAATAAAAAAAAAACTAAATGTTAAGAATAAGTTTAAAAAGAAAATAGTTAGATGATCAAAACGAAACAATGATGATAATTGGGGTACTAAACATGTAGTTTACCCTAGAAACTAAGAATGATGGAAAATTTGTTAATCACATTATTAAGATTTATAATATTTTTCTCCTTTGAATTTGATTAATAAATTTTTCGTTATTTCTCATTCTTATTTGGTCAAAGTAGATACTAACGTTTTTGTAGTTACTATTTAAGGTGTCTAACATTTTATCATGTTATTATTTTAAGGTTATTCTGTTAACGACCTTTAAAAAATATTCGTCAACCAATAATTATTTGACACGTAGCATTAATTTATTATTAATATTAATGTTCTAAAAGTAAAAAAAAAAAACTAAATTTCAAAATTCCTAAAAAAAAACTCTTCATTTTCTAATTTCTTAACCTCAAAACCCCCTTATAAACAAGAGATTAGATGATGAATGACAGTCAGAAGCTCAAGCGTAGGTACAATCTCATCGATGACGAAGAACATGTTATAATTGGGTGAAAAAATACTTTTGTGATAGGATTTAGGGACAACGTACAATGACGATTGATTTTTAGGTGACTGTATGCGACGACAAAGGGCCGACCAACCGGTGGGAGCCTGATGATAGAAGGGGTGACCAGTGGTGGCTATTTCAACAATGACATATGTGATTTATAGATTTGAGGTTAAAATTTAGATTTTTTGTAATTTAAGAATTTTAGCGAGGGTTTTAGAAAATTAAGGCATAATATAAAAAATACCTAAACTATACACTAGTGCATAAAGTATTTTTTGCTTAAAGTATGTGTCTAATGTTTCCAACATTATTATTTTAAGTTACCATACCGTAAAAGCCATTAAAGAAGACCGTTATCTAACGCGCGTCATCCATTGACCATCAATTAGAATTAAGGGAGTGTGTTTGTGGGAGTATTTGGTGAGTTTATATGGCATCGAAGATTGGTTTTAGAAAGGGTGTTTGAAAATATTTTTAAGTTTTTTAAAATAAAAATTCTAAAAAATATAAATGTAACACGTGTCAAATAAATTTTTTTAACAGTCGTGATGGACCAAACACTTAAAACAATAACGTCGGAAACATTATGGACATACTTTAAACGAAAAATACTTTAGGTATTAAAAATGAACAAATAATATAACTTAGACACTTATTTTTTTCATTAATACATTAGGTACTACAATTTAGACCACTAGAAAAGTTTGAGAATCATCAATGTTAAAAGAAAGTAGATAAAGGATTGTCGAAAAAAGTGGTGATAAAGATACAAAGAATCATGTGAAAAATTATCACGAATCACATGTGGAGATGTCAAGGTTTAGCCCAACACCTTTGGTATTTCAGCATACCTTTATGCGCCATGTTAAAAGCAAACTAATTATCCCTCCCTTTTGCTTACCTTTTTTAAACTATGGGCATGGCACGCACCATGTGATTATACCATCCAAAACGATTAAAAGCAAGAAATAGAAAAGGGAAGAATTCACCCAGTGACCTAGTAATTAAAGAAGTGTTGTTCTTCATAGAGATTATAGGTTCTAGCAACAGTTATTTCGTCTACACAGTGTATGTACATCATCAATGGCTAAAGAAAGATTCTAAATAGATTATACCTTATAATTACTCATATTATTCAAAATAATAATAATAAAAGGACATGCATTAAAATGGTTTGAATGGCTTAAAGCTGAAGTACTTTAAATCCAAATGGAGGTTCCATGTAGACCACATAGTAGGTTTCTTTGTTAAGTTCAAATTGAGTTGTTTGGGTCAGATAAACTGAATCGAAAAACTATGTTAGTATTTTATTTTAAATAATTTAAAATTTAAAATATTTTGGATGTAGGAGGGTAATATGGAAAGGGACCATTTAAGGTGGAGGGAGGGGTCCCTAGACAAATAGAAGATAGAGTAAACCTTTTTGGCAGCCCAATTGGCCCACCATCCAATGGAGGATTGAAGAAAAAAACTTGCAATTTATATGAAGCGATTGTCTCTAAGCTTAGCGGCGGATGCAAATGTATTTTAGTACGGATATCGGAATTTTTTTTTTCAGTTAGTTATTTATTTTGTTGATGTGTTTATCTTGAAGTTTTGTTTGTATCTATTACATACGAAAAAATTATGTCGTTTATATATATGTGCCATTTTAAAAAATATTTATGAATCTGTTAATACTTACAATAATATTTTCACGCTAATCTTTTATAAGAAAACCTTT